CGCCGTCGTTTTTTGTTTTGTAAATTGACCTGTATGATATATTGAAATATACACTTCTTACATGCCTTTTTTTACAAGTCTAGAGAACGGGAAGAGAGCGTCGGAAACACATTCTGAGTATGTTGCGAACACGTTGAGAGGGCGTTGCGAAAATGTTTAGGACGTTTACTCAGGGTCGCAGGGACGGCAATACGAAGTAGCGACAACGTGGTGCGCACGTGATAAAAACGTTCAGAAACGTCACAGAGACGTAGCCAAAGCGTTCTATACTCGTTGTATAGTCCGTTTTTCTTAAGTTCGACCCTCACTGTAATTATCTCTTTGAACACAGCACGAGAATTGCTAGCTGAATTACTTAGAAAACTGGCTGGCGCACATTGATTTCGCAGACGATTAATTTTACTCAAAAATATTTCTTCCTGGCTCTTATTTCCCAGACTCCTAGCTCGTATTTGACTTTATATACAACCCCACAGGGATAGACATTTTGTCAGAAATTATAACTGAACTGATCAATAGATCGCACGGCGTTTAACAGAACGGTATATCATCGGTGTTTAAAACTTATTTGGAAAATATTATTAATGTCTGCAGTACAATGTGCGCTAGCCAGTTTTCTAAGTAATTCAGCTAGCAATTCTCGTGCTATGTTCAAAAAGATGTTTACAGTGAGGGTCGAACTTAGAAAAAACGAACTTTATAGTCACGTTGTGGAAACGTGGTGACAACGTCCCAGAAACTGTTGGCACGTTACAGAAAACATTTCATAACGTTGGCGGGACGTTGTAAGAACAGTTTTGGGACGTCACGGCCACGTTACAGAAACGTTGTGATGACATTCAAATGCATGGTCGGATGACGTTGTCACGCCGTTGTCTGGAGTCTACAAAATAACGTTATCACAATGACAAATCGGGACGTTGTGGTAACCATTTGACAACGTTTAAACGACGTTGTAACAACGGCAAATTGTTAGCTGGGTTAGCGGCGTTTGAAATTTTGCCATTTTTTAGGCGAAAATGGCGAACATGACGTCACTAAAACGTCATTTTCTCAAAAATTTTCCGACGGATTTCGCTCAAATTTTCAGGGAACGTGTCAAATTGATGTATGATAAGGTACTGAAAGTTTGACGTCGCTGGCGTAACGCGTTTAGAAGTTATTGGCGAAAAACGGGAGGGGGGGCAGATTCTGCCCCCCCCGCGGGGCGCGGGTTAATAAAAGAACATTTTGTGCAAACGATGAAAAAAGCATAGACGGAAGATTTTAAATGCAATTTTCTCTAGCAATTAATGGTAAATTCTCTACAGATCAAGGAAAAGATGCATGCTAACTGATAATTTAAAGTTCTTGGGGCCAGTTGTTTTCTTCTTTTCTTACGTCGCCCCAATGGCCGCGAATACACTTGTGATAACGCCTATCGAAAGGGCGTTTTACTGGTTGTTATCCATACTCGAAATTTGCTTAGGCCCTTCTGTCCAATGAGACCATTTCAGAGCCGGAAGGATGAAAGAATTAGTGGGAGACATTGGTCTGGGCAGCCACCCCAGTGAGCCACAATTGGGCTGAACCCGACCAATTGAACAGGCAGCCCAGCCCATTGGCATTCACTGCACCCGGCAAAGGACTATAGCTCCAGTGGAGCCATTCCCGCATGGGATAGAGTTGCCCGTCCAGCCCGGAGCAGGGGGGTTGCGGCGTGGAGGAGAAGGATTTGACTGTCCTGAGGATGGAAGAGATAGAACGGTGCCGAATCTGAGAGGGTCCAGGAGGTTTACATACTCAGTATATGGGGTGTGGGCCATGCATTGGTCTGACCCCTGACACCTCGGCCAACAAAATCTCCAGCTCTTGTCCGACCTGTCATCGCAGAACTGCCGATTTTTGATATCGTGATCAACGTGTGTCGTATTACACGACTGGCCGAAAATGGGCCAGTCGCCAAGTATATAAATACTATAAATATTTCGCCAAGAGAGCATGACTTTAAACCAATCCGACATCGGAGTCAAAATCCGAACAATTTCGAAGACTTCAACTCCGACTCTAGCCAAAACTATCAACTCCGACTGATTCCGGCTCCGACCCCACAGTTCTGCAGTCACACGACACTAAATTTCCAGCTTCTAAGAAATAAGCTATACGGTTGGGAGGACAACAAAACTTTGAGGCGACTTGACTACTTCACTTGGTGACCTGACCTAAGGTGTTGAAATTAGGTCATGAGTGGTTTTAAGTAATATTTGCATCTTGCTGTGATCAGTGATTCGCCCGGCCGCCGGCTGAGCTTCCCGGCCGACGCGCTGCCGCTGTATTGCGGCACAGCATCTCTCGCTGGAGCGGGGCTGTGCGGCGCGTACTCGTGCAGTGATTGGTCGGCTGCTGACCACGTGATTGTGAGGCGAGGTCGGGTGGGGGCGCGCCGGCGGAGGGCAGTCGGGCAATGTCTGTTGTCGCGGCTGGTGCGTTGGGACCTCGAATGTTATATGCGTTTGCTGGGGACGTCGGCAGACTCGTCTGGGAGGCTTGCTGTCTGCTTACTCGGCGACGCATATACATTCGAGGGTCTAAATCTGGGACTGAGTCTGTCCGGCTCGTTCCACATACGCTTTTTGGACCCAACCACCGAGAGCACAGCGCCGTGAATATGTTAGCTTTACTAGTCTGAGCGGCCTGTTCGGCGAGCATATTCACGGAGCTGTTCGTATCATTTGAGTGTGCCTTGCAAGGTCGCTATTTCATACGGCCACGCGCCTATTCGGGGAGGATATTCACGGGTTGGGGAGCCATGTTTTGGACCCAACCACCGATAGCACAGCGCCGTGAATATGTTAGCCTTACTAGTCTGAGCGGCCTGTTCGGCGAGCATATTCACGGAGCTGTTCGTATCATTTGAGTGTGCCTTGCAAGGTCGCTATTTCATACGGCCACGCGCCTATTCAGGGAGGATATTCACGGGTTGGGGAGCCATGTTTTGGACCCAACCACCGATAGCACAGCGCCGTGAATATGTTAGCCTTACTAGTCTGAGCGGCCTGTTCGGCGAGCATATTCACGGAGCTGTTCGTATCATTTGAGTGTGCCTTGCAAGGCCGCTATTTCATACGGCCACGCGCCTATTCAGGGAGGATATTCACGGGTTGGGGAGCCATGAACGAGGCTCTCATTTCATAGAGTAGGCTTATCTTGGTGCAGAGTTTGTACTGGGCCGAGTCGGAGCCCTGCCCGGCCATGGTTGTTCATTTTGCTGACGATCAAAAATACATCCGCCTGGTGTATTTATACGTTCTTTAACTTGGAATCGCAACATAAGGTTTTCTGGTATCAAGCTTGTTACACGGGCTGCAAAATCCGTATTTTGGAGCAGTTTTGCCTGATGTTTTTTGCCAATTTTCGCGGCGCTTCGCGCCGATTCATGCACTGCCAAAAAAGAGAGATTGTTACTATACAACGCCCCCTCCCCCACGCGGGTATTCAATATGCATTTCCTATGCAATATGCCTTACCGATCAGGTTAGTGGCATACATCAGCAATTATAGCCTGATAGAGTACTGGAGGTTTTGCCGTGTCAAATTGAATCGGACGTCGGATCTGTATATGGGTAGGTACTTGGTGGTAAATCGGTCTATAGCCATGCCTAAACCACTTTCCTCAGACCAGATGTTTTGCCACAGTTATGAGTTTTTATGCTTAGAATGGTCAGAAAATAACATAATGAATATTTGCAAAGAGGATTTTATTTTATTTTTACATAAGAACTGTTTTCCATCTTTCGTAGAGGCTACTTATATTGCACTGATTACGCGTTGACCAAGCATACTCGTATTACGTAGTTCAAACCAGCTGAATGCTGATTGGCTAGCATTTTTCCGTAAGGGAATGGATTCCTCGGTAATGAAATGACAAAGTGTAGTCTATGGGAATGACTTCAGTATTCAAACCTAAATTCGATACTGATATCTTTGACTAGGGCGATCGTTGGGCCATAAAAGCTCTTTTTTTTTGTTAATTCTTGTCTCAGCTCAAGCTACAAAACTGTTACTTCAGTTTAAAACCCTATGCTAAAAGTGGCATATTTGCTTTAAACGTTCAATACATCGGACCGAAAAAGACACGGTAAGAATGTCTATTTTTGGGGTTTTCAGTCGGTCAGTCCGTCCCCCCCAGTCAAAAATCCGTGGCGGTGCCCCTGCACATCCTCTACATACACCGTTTGTAAGATAATGACACCTGATTGAATTTGGCTCCACGGTCGGTCTCTCCGAGACAGTGAATAGATGTGAGGCAGGATGAGGACTAACTTGATCAGCTAGCTGAAGAGGATTATAGGGGGATGGTAATTATAGAAGGTATGGGAAGTCCCGATGGAAATGAAGATGTGTGAGGTGTGATCCACAATTTGCTACACAAAGCACGTGGATAAATGATGACAGATACTTCCATCATGAAGGCTGGATGAAACCGGACAAAACCGGAAGAATTGTGCAGAAGCTGACTGTATCTTCATGGGATAACGTTTCACTTTACGTGCGCACGTGCAGCACAGGTTTCGCTCGTTGAAAATGCCTTAACCATAACAGATCGCGCTTAAGCTCAAGTGCATCAGTAAGGTAAAACGGTATTTAATTTCAATGAGTTTCAACAGGCACCACCGTGAGTGGCGTAATGCTGCAGGTGGCTTCCTCCGCAAAATCAGCACGCACTTCACACAGGTGCCAATATGTGGAGCAAACGTGGAATACAGACGTATGAGTATGACAATGTGTGGCACCAAGCAAACATGCATCGGAAGATGACAAGAACGACACGATAAACTGGGAATCAAAGTGACATAAAAGTAGCCCCTGATCTGAGAAGGCTCAGGATAGACCCGTGACCAGTAACTCAGAACTGACCTGGGACTGGTCACGATCCGGCACTGTCCCGTGACCTGACATCAACCCGTGACCTGAGACTAGCCCGTGACCCATGACCCGTGACCCGTGACCCCAAGACTCACCTGGGGCTGCTGGAATCCGTTGCGTCGTCTTCTCCAATCACCCCCGGCTGAAACTCGGGATGAAAGTACACCACACTGGACTTTTTGCGGGCCGGCGGCGGCGGACTGCTAGTGAACACCGGTCGGGAGAGGATCCTAGCTAGGCTCACAGGAGACCGGTGTCGTTCTGAGCCGCTGTGTCTGGCTGTCGGAGCGCCAGTGCTCGCCGAAGCGCCGGTGCTCGTCGCCGATGCGCCGCTGAACGTCTTGACACCCCCTCCGGCGCGGCGCGCGGAGCAGCAAGGTGAGAAGAAGGACCCACAAACGTGCGGCTTTTCAGGCGCTGTGTCTGGCGAGGTGGTCGAACTTGCTGAACTGGAATCGCTCACCGCCGGAGCTTCTGTGGAACTCCCAGCGACCGCAGCGGGCTGCTGAGCGGGCACAGAGTCCGCCCTGGTCGCAGACGGCTGAGTCGTCGGTTCTGTCGAACCCAGAGACCCGGCTCGAGGTGCGCCCGATGACTTCGAGACACCCGAGTTCTCGCTCTTTCTCGCGTCGTCTGCGACAGAGTCTCTCACCGACTCGTCCCCTCGCGCTGTGCTCCCGGCGGCACCGTTGGGGTGTGCGTCGCTCGCGTCGCTATTCTGGTCACCACTCTCGCGTGTCTTTCCGCCCTCACTGGACGCGGACGGCGCGCGCGAGCCCGACTGCTCCTGGGGCCGTCGGTCGCTGGTCTGAGCGGCCGCGGCGGGCGGACCTTCACTGCGACCCGCGGCAGCAGCCGGGGACGCAGTAGCGGCAGCAGCGGCAGCGGCGGCGGCGGGAGCGGGGACGGTGTCGGGCGCTCGGCCGCGCGACAGCCTACCCCGCAGCGACTGGAGTGAGCAGGCCAGTCGGCCGGCGGCGCCGCCGTCGGAACCGGCGGCCGTCGGTGGCGGCGGCGGCGCGCGCCGGCCCGCGTCCACAGGTGGGGCACTCATCGGTGCCGGCTTACCGCGGTGGCTGCCGCGACCGGGACCAGCTGGAACAGACAGCGGGGGGAGGGGGCGTCAGCTACTGAGGGCTGGAGGGAGTGGGGAGGGGGCGTCAGTAACTGGGAGGGGGTATATGGGGAGGAGGTCAGCTTCTGAGGGACAGTGAGCGTCAGTAGCTAAGGGTTAAAGGAAGGGGACGTCAGTATGGTAGAGAGCTGGAGGGAGTGGGGTGAGGGAGCGTCAGGACTGGAGGGGAGGGGTTGCGACTGAAGACTAGGGGGAGTAGGGGGGGGGCTCAGCTACTGAAAGGCAGAGAGACGGGGGCATCAGGCGCGAATGACTGAGAGGCCGGGGAGGGAGAGATAGGCGTCGATAATTGAAGGACAAAAGGGACAGTATATATTGGAAGATTGCTACGAAACCAAACATTTCATTGGCCTGTTTCATCGATTTTATCGTGATTTCATCGGCTCTCTAAGGGTATTTCACGTACAACAAAACATCTATTAAATCGCAGACTCGTGCATGTTTGATGGCTCGACTCTACATCAACAGGTGACCAACCAATCACGTCGGAACAAACACGTTCACACGCAGCCACCGCGACACGACTGAACAAAAACAGTTCACGGAACACGAACAGTGAACACGAATACGATGACAATCGAACAAATCAGAACGTCAAAGGCTGATGGACAAATGGCTAATAGCTAATGTGCTGCTCGGTTAACTTCAAAAGGCAATCAATATAATGTTATTGCAGGCTGTTTGATTATAGCAAAGCGAAACCTTTGATTATTATGATATTCGAAAACGTTGCAATGTGGAAATTTTTTAATAATCCGGGTCCACTTCGATGGGTATTTCTTATGCAGGTTCGGATCTCTACCACGATCACTTCGATCGAGCGATAAACGAAGATTGTTCTTGATTCAGTCATCAACAGCTTACGTTTCAAACAAAGACCAATGAAACTTGTACACAGAGTGTCAACCTTAGAAAATACAAAACCGAAGGAGACACCTTGTCCCTATGGCGCTTTGTCGGCGCTCACAAAAGAGATATAAACATAAACAGTTACGGTCATTTCACAAAAAGGTGCGATGGCCCACTTCTCGGTGAGACCATCGATCTTTGCTCAGCACTGACACCAAGTACAAAACATTCGAACTGAAATATATACAGAATGCGGCACCGATTCCAACCCTCCCGGCCATAGCAGTTTGCTAGAAAACGCCTATATGGCGAAAGCCTTTTTATGCAAATCTGTAAGTTAACACAAAAGAAGTGGGACGATATCTCGACGCATTTCTCAGCATACGACTTGGTCACGAGTTAATTTGTTTGAGTTGACCTAGATCTCTTCAATAAGAAGAATAATCTGCCTAGCTGGATACAAAAGTGATATTGGGGTCAAGTTGGGTCAGAGTAAAAGATGTTTGGTCACGTGTTTGCTTAAAATCTAAAAACAAAGATAACTAGGCCTTCTACCAGCTCTGACCATACATGTCGAGGACAACGGGTTTACTTTTGCTTTAGCAGCAACCATGAAAATAAAGTGAATATGTAAGTAGATTCTTCATTCTAATGTAACCAGCTGTGAGTTCCCGCGGCGAATACACTCTCATTGATTTGCGTTCGATTTTGCTGGGATATAAATACACCTGTGAAAGTGCGTTAGACGGATCAAGTGCTGGTAAGTACAGCTTTCTAATACCAATCTAACAGGGACATTCACTTAGGACATATTATCCGGTTCGACTCAGCTGGAGAACCATCAACGTCATCCGCTAAATGTCACCGAAATGTCATCAACCCAGACTGACAGTATTATCGTTAGCCGTTCGCCAAATCGGCTACCGTTCGTTTATCACCAACATAAAAACGATCATTCCATTTGGCGTTGCCCTTTGCCCTGACCCGACGACTTTCCTCCGAGCTGGTGGTGCCTCTTCCCACCTGTGTATTCCGTCCACAGCAGCTCAAACCGTCGCCATGACAACGAACACAAACAAACATCACAGAGGCACGAGCCGAGAGAATGACTCGGCCTGGGCGCCTCTATACAGCGGGACACGGTGAAATGCTCCACGGCACAATTGTGCACATTATTGGGCGGCCATTCACAGTGTGCTCATATTCGAAGGTCATTTTCACGGTATGAAAAGATGTGCCGTGCGTGTAGTAAAGGGGCAGTTATCGAAGTAGCTTCAGCATTGTAGCGAATGGAAAAAGAATGTAATCTATGAAGATCTCTAAAATATTAACGAAAATGATACTGGAGTCACTGGTAGATAGATGAGGGAGGTTGGTGCATTTACAACCGTATCCACAACAACACTGTCGGCAGGGACGGAGAAGCAGGCTCAGATTGTCCGTGCCCTCCGACATTGCGAGTGCGACCAACAATGTCGGATCTTCACTCGACGACTTCTGTTAGACAACTGCCCTATTCAACACCGCATTTGCTCACGGTGAGCTTTTGTTGACAAGAATTGCCCCCATCCTCACAGTACCACAAAAAACATGACTGGGTCCACACGGTAAAGCGAGTGGTAGTCGAAGCGGAAAATAAAAGTTACAAGGTAGACTGAGAGCTGAGCTCATAGCTAACTGGCTCGAAGGGCGTCATGGCGTCGAGTTATGGATGTGACGATGACACTGACTGTGACGTTGACGGTAATGGAATCGGTGTTCTGTGATAGCAACTGTGACTCTAACGGCAACTGCGACATTAGTGAAGGCGAAGGTGCAGGCGATGATAGTCGCGAAGTAAGAAACCACCCCCACCCCCACCCCCGGCCCCCGGGTCACCACTCACCAGTCCCACTGCTCGCTGACCGCTCCCGTCACACACATGGTCACACCATTCTGCGGTCACTTCTCATTTCGTCACACTATCCCACGCCGACCAAATCATGCCCCCAGGCGGTACGGGACAGGAGGGTGAGGGGGGGGGGCGGTATGAGTGGGAACTGGGACTGGACCAAGGTCGGCTGAATGGGCGCCCAGGTGCGACAGAGCGGAACTGCAGTGTGGCGGTGACGTACTCACGGGAATATGACGTCATTGGGGGCAGAGTCGTTATGGCAGGGATATGGCCGAAAATGGTGATGGTTGTTCAATGTTCATGACTGTATGTAGTAGCAGGAAGTCTAAAATGAAATGTGAAAGTAAGCTAGTAAAAGTGCAAAAAGATAATGGAATAATGCTAGGGAGCATATATTTGTACTTTGAAATAAAATGTAAGTAAAACATAAATGAAATCTGCACACCGAAAAAGTAGACATGTGGAAAAGCATGTGATTGTTGGCTTGGACAAAAACTAACATATGGATCAATATGAATCTTGAAGTCTGAAGACCTTTAATTTGAGTGAAAGATGCTTCCTGAGCAGTTGATTATTGACTAACAAATGCCAGAGAACAGATATCGATTTTCTTCGAACTTTCTGAACTTTTCAACTACCTGCAGTGCAGCTAGTCAGAAAACAAAAACAAAAAGTTCGCTCCACAATGCGCAATTTCGGTGCAGAAAATAAGCACCGGAATAAAAAGCGGCACTTTAACCCGCGCCCCACTGGGGTCTGCGTATAACACGCCCTACTGGGGGGGGGGGGGCTATTCATAGCCCCCCCTCCTAACTCCAAAACTACTGGGCCGATCGTCAAAATTCAAACGGCGTCTGATAGCCCCGGAAAAACTGTCGAGCGAAACCTAATTTCATTGACCTCGAGGTCACCGATGACGTCACAGGTCAGGTCAAAGTAAAAATTATTAGCATTTTGGCTTCTTCACGTTTTGGGCTCTGGCCACCGTCTTACAAGTCAGATCAGGCTCATTTTTTGTTCACACACTCGTGAACAGATGCTCTAGATACTCTGAGGGTACCAAACTTGTACTTTGATTTTCAGGTCAAGGTCAGGTCATCACAGGTCACGAAAATATTATATCATCCGTCGGTCACGTGACACATGTTTTATGGTCCATTTAGGCCAAACATTTCGAATTTGATGTCGTCTGTGTCATTCGAGGTCATTTTGAGTCAAATTTAGCTTAGGTCAGGTCACTTTCAGGTCAAAAAAGGTCAAATTTTGAAGTTAAAATTTTTCAACAAAGAAGTTGTCTATTGGATGCAGTTTGAGCTCAGGAACACGATGGCGCTATTTATAGGTATTGGCGTGCGATTATTATATAACATTTTCGAAATTTTCAAAATTTTGAAAATCCGAGATAGCAGTTTGATAGCGCAGTCTATTCTGAGTCCTCTCATGCAAAGAAATTGGATCTAGCTTAAAAACTGAGCTCTTGGGAGCGATTGCCGTGGTTCAATGTTTTGCGTCGAAATCGGCCGAACATGACGTCACTCTGACGTCATTTCCGGCCGACCTATGGTAGGCACGAAGTTCAAATTTTGACACAAGGTGTCAAATTGATGCAGCCGAAGGTACTGAAAGTTTGGCGTCGATATGTCAAGCGGTTTGGAAGTTATTGCAGAAAAACGGGAGGGGGGCTATAAATAGCCCCCCCAGTGGGGCGCGGGTTAATTAACAGTCACGTCTACCCAATTCCCTACAATGCTCGGCATATCTGACTTACATGTTATCAAATACACGCACGCTGAAGTGTAAACTTGTTGACGGGACATATGAGCAAAACAATGAGCACACTAACTTCGCCGATTGGTAAACACAACAAAGCCTTTTACTTTTCTGTGGTGAGTTAGATATTTTGTGAGGTTCTACCGCTAATGCCGGTTATCACATGCAATAATATCCTATCAAAAAATTGAAAGTATCGAACTACCAACAATATAAACACAACGCTTAAATTGTTCTTGGCATGAAATTATCACGGCACTTTGTGATGCATGAAATTTGTCCATCACCTCACGTGTTTTCATACCACACCGTTTATATTCACTATCGTTCCTAACCAAGACGCATAGGTAAGTCAGTTGCGGCTCTAATCACTGAACATTTTATCATTTAAATGCGTCACGTGTGTTTGTTATACACAGGGGTGTCTGCATGTATTTCACACATTCA